CACCCACACACACACACACACACACACACACACACACACACGCACACACACAAAGCACACCCCCACAGATACACAAACACCGATAAATAGGCCGCTGCAACCTTCTGACAATGCCTGTCTTTCCGTACTGTAATGTTGAACAAGCTGTCACAAGCCCCATGGATCTGGATATGGCCCACGATCTGGCCAGAATTCGCTGCCGTTCTGGTCGGGATCTGGTCTAGATCTTCCCCCCTCGGTTTGGTCGCGATTCGGTCCTGATCCCATCCTGGAGATCTGACCCTAGATCTGGTCTTGGATGAACCTGGATCTGGTCCTGAACCTGGTCCTGGACCTCGGCCTAAATGTGGTCCCAAATCTGGTCTTGGATCTGGTCCTGGAGCTGGTCTTGGATTTGGCAATTGATCTGGTCCTGGAGCTGTTCCTGGATTTGGTCGTGAAGCTGATCCTGTATCTGGTCCCAAATCCGGTCTTGGATCTGGTCCTGGAGCTGGTCTTGGATTTGGCAATTCATCTGGTCCTGGAGCTGTTCCTGGATTTGGTCGTGAAGCTGATCCTGTATCTGGTCCCAAATCTGGTCTTGGATCTGGTCCTGGAGCTGGTCTTGGATTTGGCAATTCATCTGGTCCTGGAGCTGTTCCTGGATTTGGTCGTGAAGCTGATCCTGTATCTGGTCCCGAATCCGGTCTTGGATCTGGTCCTTGATCTGTTCCTGGATCTCGTGTATCTGGTCTGGATCGGGTTCTGTATCTGGTCCTGTATCTGGTCTTGGATGTCCTACTGTGCACCATCTAATCCGTCAGCAGAGAGCAGCCGACACATGATAGCATATAATGCATTCTTTTTGCAAAACCCTTCTCCTCTTGTATCTGGTCTTGTATCTGGTCCTGTACCTGGTCCTGCATCTGGTTCTGTATCTGCTACAGCATGCATGGTTGCTTCATCTGTGGAACCCAGACAGCTATAGCATGCATGCTCTGCTCATCTTGCTATGTGCTCCTGATGAACTACACTTGCTACTGTCTTCACCCGAGTACAATGTATGGTCATTATAGCTGTATTTGGGGCAACTTTGAGTCTAGATACAGCAATAGTGACGGTACGTTGTATTCGGGTGAAGACGGTAGGGTATAGCAAAGCCAGGAAGGTCTTTAGCAGGAGCCGAAGTTGAGTAGCTGCCATTGTCACAGTGGTGACGAGTAGCTGATTCACCCAAATAGAATGCCGGGTCATTATCGCTGCATCAGGACTGACAGTTGACCCAAATGCAGGTATAATGACTGGGCGTTCTATTCGGGTGAAGACTGTAGCTGATTCAGCACGCAAGATCAATAGGGGTCCTTGGCAGCAGAGCACGTCGAGTGGGAGCGGCTGCGATTGACTGATGATGATAATCAGCTGGCTTCACATGGAGAATTTACTGCACAGAAGTTGAGCATACCGCTTCACTATCTGGACCGAAAGTCGACCCAAAGACAGGTAGCGGGTATCGCAAGCAGTAGCACTTGCATGAACTCATACTCATCTGGACTGAGAGTCAACCCAAATACAGGTATAATGACGGGACGTTCTATTCGGGCATACTATTTACGACAAGATCAGTACCACTTGCCTGTACTCGTACTCATCTGGACTGAGAGTCGACCCAAATAAAGGTATAATGACTGGGCGTTCTATTTACGACAAGACGAGTACGAGTACAGGCAGGTGGTACTGCTTGCGATACCCGCTACACACCTTTCCCTAAATAACAAAAGAGTTGAAAAGACCCCTTTCACCCCGGCCTTTGCGCAACCCCCTTTTTCCCCCACTCTTGCTCACCATTTGGAGCAATAAAGTGTCATAAGGGGAAGTTTTTCTTTTGGCAGTGTGATGCAATCAACAGGTATAACTAGCAACCTGAATTCACTGCCTAGGCAGGTCCTAGGGGCCGCCATTCGCCCCCCCTGTATGTATCCAGGGCAATTTTCTAACCAAATACCATATGTATTCAGCGCTGTTTTCTCGCCAAATACATACAGCAGGTCAAGCCACAAGCATCAAACAGGTGTAATTAATGACCTGAAGTCACTCCCTGGGGGCCATTCATCCCCTGTATGCATTCAGGGCAATTTTCTAGCCAAATACATACAGCACAGCAAGTTGCGGGCTTGCATAACAACGAACTGTGTGGCTCCTCTTTCTCCTTTTCGTTCCTCCTTTCCTCCGATTTTCAGGCGAAATGCATCCTCTGATTCTTTCCTCCTTTTCTCCCATTTTCTGGCAAAATACATACAGCAAGTCAAGCCAGAGAAAGTCTTTCTCTGTCCGCCTCTGACCGGGTGTTCTGTCGAATTCCAAGGCTACCTCGGTGGGATTTATCCGGTACAAAGAACATCCAGTGTGGCCGTACTGTCGAAACATCTGATGTCTGACGTCTGACATCTACAGTCTGAGAGATGCAACGGCCATCATCCGGAGGTGGTAGTTCCAGACAACGGGTGACGTAATGTAGGAACGCCCGACGTCTGAGGTCTGCAGAAATGAACGAATGCTGATTGCGCGAACAGAAGGTGGGTGATTTGTTGAGTCGAACCCAGCTCTCGGGTTCCTGTTGATTGAACTGTTGAGCAAAAGGGAGTATGGAGGACAAAAATCAGTCACAAAGTTTGGCGATTTGAACAAGCGCGAGGTTGTCGGAGTGGACCGGCCTGCCAAGGGCATGACCGCGCCAGGCTACGTGTTCATGGGCACAGTTGCAGACCCACCACGTTGATATGTAGCACCAGGAATCAGGTCGTCAACATAATCGATGTCCTTAGTTAGGCTTCCTTGGACCCCTGGCCCAGCAAGCCTCAGGCTGGGCCAGCCCCGCTGGTTGAGGAGCTCGCGCAGATCGTCGTTGGAGTAAAGTGTCCTCTCCTCTCTGGTTTCCACAGATGAGATGCTCATTTGGCCGGACGGCTGATCCTGTGAATTGGACGGCCAGCAGGGGTGGGTGCTGGCACTGCTAAATATCGTGATGGTGATGCCTTCATCTACCAACAGACTGTAATTCACAGCGGGCATGTCTCGACTGATCGCCCTCACGATCCCTCCCTCATCTTCCAACCAGAAAGCTCTCCTGGTTCTCAGACCGAATGCGGATCGTAGAGCCTCTTTGATGGCCTCGCTCGGTGCGTCTATTCCGAACCTTCGGACGACGTCTCGATACTTCACGGTGATAACTCGACCCATCGGTGTCTTGACCGGCGATCTCGAGCTCGACGGGGCCTTCACCCTCGCCCCGAGTAATGCGTCTAGATCCTCGTAGCAAGCGAGTTTCGAACATGCAACACGCCGATCGTGTTGCTTTGCTTTCTTGTACTCCTTCAGCAGATTCCGCCACTTGTCTGTGCACATCATCGGGTTGCGATCGTAGCCCATCTCCTTCATCTTGCTTGAAATAATCTTCCACAAATGCCGATTGGATTTCGATGAGTTGAATTGTGTGTCCATCTCCCGCCGCAAATTGATCAAGGACATGATCTCGTCTTGCCCCCATGTCTCTGCCCTCTTCCTGGGGACCTTCGGCTCCAACTCCTCTAAACGCTCCTGCATTCCCAACATCTGTGTCTCCCCGGCTGCTGCGGCCTGCACAATGGCCACCATCCCCCCACCTCCTCCTCCCGGCCCCACTGCTTCTCCTCCTACTACTACTCCTCCAGCTCCTCCTCCTCCCCCTCCGCCTCCTCCCCCTCCCCCTCCTCTTTCCTGGCCCTCTTCCTCCATCACCTCCTTCCTCTGGGCACCTGTACCAACAGAAGACCTCTCCTCTGTCGGCAAGCGAACCAGTTCCCTTTCCCAACACGCACACCAGGTTGACTCAGTCGAATTCAAAACCTCCTTGCACACTTAACTCCTTCCTCCCTTACCTCCCCTCGCCTCTTCCCCCCTTCCCCCCTTCTTCCTCTCTCTCTCTCTCTCTCTCTCTCTCTCTCTCTCTTTTGTACGTGCTATTTCTCCCTCCTGCTGTCTTCTATCCCTTGCTTGCTCACCACCTTACCCTGTGTGCATGCAACCCTCTTCCCCTGTCATCCCACCTCCTGCTCTCCCTCCTCTCCAGTAGACAATGTTTGCCGGGGGGGGCGGGGAGGCTGTGCAGGTGCGAGGCTTGCCTGCCTGGTCACTTGTTCTGAGAATTCAAGACTTTCTTCCCTGGCAGAGCGACATCCACACAGAGAAAGCAGCTGCATAAGTTACGAAGAAATTGGGGAAAAGAAAATAGACAACAAAAGGAACAACAACAGGATGGAGAAAGGGATGAAGGGAGAGGAAGGCTGGGAGGGAGGGAGGGAGGGAGGGAGTGTCAGGAATGGGGGAGAAGCAAGGGGAAGGACGGATGGAGGGAAGGAGGGAAGAGAGCTAGGGAGAGAGAGAGG